TGCCAAAAATGTTAGGCAAGTACAATAGCTTCTCATAAGTGTCAAGATTCTCAATAAATATTTAATATCAAACAAATTGCAATGTGTAAAAAATATATAAATACAATAAAGAAAAGTGAAAGTCAAAAGAAGTTAATTATTCCATACATCCTATTAGGAGAGCAACCAAATAAAAGTCACCTGACGTCTAACGTTCTTAGATGCTTGATGCCTGCCAATCTAATGTCAACTATAAGCACCTCACACGCATCTTCCCCTGATCTTTGGGTCTGCCATTTCATAAAGAGAGTGATTGAGATAGCCGCACAGAATTTTCTTGATATTACTTGAGCATCTTAAGCCATTTATTTCCTCCATGAAAGATAATTTCTACAATTTATATGTACTATAATATATTAAGATATCCTTGAGTTTACATGAAAGCGTATCCATTACAGTATATGACTCACACTAGTAAAAGCATTTCAATTGTGTTTAGAGTTTGTTTAGGAAGATTTTTTTACTGTTTCGAGAGGAAAAATAAAGAAACTGTTGTTATTGAATTAATTCCTTGTAAGAGGTACAGTAGTCTTTATAAAGAAACTGAGATGGCATAAGTGTAATAAAGGCTTAATACATAAATGTTCGTTTACAGCCTCCCGCAAATTAATCATTCTGGGATCGAATGGTTAATTTGTGACGAAGATTGTGAAAACGACATGCTGAGAAAGATTTTGTTAAAATGTCGGCAATCTGTTCTTCGGATGGTATGTGAGTTATGGAGATAGCGCCGTGCATGAGATGCTGACGAATGAATTGGTAGTCGATCTCAATATGCTTGGTCCTGGCGTGAAAGACGGGGTTCCGAGCGAGCGCAATCGCAGACGTATTGTCACAAAAAATCTGAGTAGGAGAGGGCTGCGACAGACCAAGTTCTTCGGTTAGACGGCGCAACCAGATAACGTCGGAGGTGGCGGCCGAAAAGGATCTGTATTCGGCCTCGGTAGATGATTTAGCGACAGTCACTTGCTTCTTGACGGACCAAGAAATGAGATTTGGACCCAAGAATGTACAGAACCCAGAAATAGATTTCCGGTCGGAGGAATCGGAAGCCCAGTCCGCGTCGGTGTATGTCCGTAAGGTGAGATCTCCGGTAGTAAGGGGAAGACCGAAGGAAAGAGTGCCTTTGACGTATCGAAGCAAGCGTTTGAGAGCTTGGAAGTCTAGAATCGTTGGCATATGCATGTGTTGACATACTTGATTTGTAGCGAAGGCAATGTCCGGCCGAGTGATAGAGAGATATTGGAGAGAATCGGCTAGACGACGGTACAGCTTTGGATCGTGAAATGGCTGGTTGGATGTTGCTGTGTGATTGGATTTGGGAGTCGACGGAGTGTCCGCGGGTTTACAATCAGCCATGCCAGAATCGTTTAGGAGCTTTTCTGCATAGTGTTGCTGTGTAAGAAATAATCCTGTGGGCTGCCGGAGAATCTGAATCCCGAGGAACAAGGATAGCTGGCTGGATTGTTTTAGTGCGAATTGAGAATGCAACTTGGAGAGAAGGTTGTTGAGTGCGGCAGAGTCATTACCTGTGATTAGAAAGTCGTCAACGTAAATTAAAAGAAAAATTTGTATGTTGTTATGATGATAAGAAAGGAGGGAGGGATCGGAACGAGTGAACCTGAATCCTTGATTCTGAAGGAAGGTGGTTAGTTTATCGAACCATTGCCGCGGTGCTTGTTTGAGACCGTAGAGGGATTTGTTTAATTTGCAGACGGAGGACGGGGAGGCACTGTCGACGAATCCGGGAGGTTGGCGCATGTAGATGTTTTCGGAGAGGTCACCGTGAAGGAAAGCGTTTGAGACGTCGAGTTGGAGAATTTGCCAGTTCCGGTTGAGGGCCAGTGTGAGAAGAATGCGAATTGTAGTCATTTTGGCGACAGGACTAAATGTCTCGGTGTAGTTGACGCCGTATTGCTGGTCGTAGCCTTGTGCTACGAGACGAGCCTTGTACCGATCTACTTGGCCATTGGGTAGGAGTTTAATCTTGAAAGTCCATTTGCACCCGAGAATAGGCGTGTGATCCGGGGCGGGGACGAGTGTCCAAGTTGCTTGTTTCTGGAGAGCATGGAATTCCTCGGACATGGCTTGACGCCAGTGCGAGTGCTTGACAGCCTGAGCGTAGGTGGTGGGGGTTGGATTTGGGGAATGGGCAGTAAGTAGAGATAAGATTTGTTTGGGTTTGGAAATACCAGACTTGAGCCGTGTCTGCATGTGGTGGGAAGGTAGATGTGGAGCCGAAGGAGTGGGTATGTTGGAGGTGACGGAAATGGGGAAGGGAATCTCGTTGATGCTGGACAGAGAATGGTCAGTTGTAGTTATGGAAGCTGATGTATGAAGAGGCTTAGAAGTAGGGGTAGGCACCGGTTTAGATGCTAAGGAAGTGGGAATGAGAAGCATGGGTGGAGTGGTGTGCTGTGAGTGTGAGAAGGTGGTGGGTTTAACCGGATTAGTTGTTCTGTATGGAAATTGAGATTCATTGAAGGTGACGTGCCGTGAGATAAAAATTTTGTTGGAGAGGAGATCCAAGCACTTGTAACCTTTGTGAAAGGGGGAGTACCCAATGAAGGTGCATTCGCGGGAGCGAGGCGAAAGTTTATTAGCTGCATAAGGACGAAGCCATGGAAAGCATTGACATCCAAAGGTGCAGAGGTGAGTGTAGGAGGGGTGGTGGCCGTGCAACCGGTAGAAGGGTGTTTGATTTGCGATGGAGGAAGAGGGTAGACGATTTACCAGATAATTAGCGGTGGAGATAGCTTCTGCCCAGAAAGTGCTTGGTAAGTTGGCGGCGTGGAGAAGGGTGCGCGCTAGATCGAGAAGATGGCGGTGTTTCCTTTCGGCGAGCCCGTTTTGCTCGGGCGTGTGCGGACAGCTGAGTTGCCGTTGTATGCCGTGTTGGTGTAGAAAATTAGTGAACTCATGACTTATGAATTCGCCTCCGCCGTCTGACCGAAGAGCCTTTGGAGTAGTGTGAAATTGAGTGCGAATGAGTTGCTGAAATAATTTGAATTTAGAGAGCGTTTCCTGTTTTGATTGCATGAGATACAGCCATGAAAAACGCGTAAAGTCGTCTATAAAAATAACGTAATAACGAAAACTATCCATGGAGTGAACGGGGGCAGGACCCCAAACGTCAGAATGTATTAGATCAAAAGCAGCTGAAGAAACAGAATGAGTTTTATTAAAGGGAAATTTGTGACACTTTGCCACAGTACAAGAAGTGCAAAAGAATTTATTAGAAATCTGTGTAATGCCAGGAAGATGCGGTAGCAAATCTTTGAGCAGTCCATGATGTGGATGGCCGAGGCGAGAATGCCAGAGAGTTTCTTGGTTTGAGTTGGCATGAAAGGCCATATGTTTGTGGACAGCAGGGCGGCGCAGTTGATACAAACCATCATGAAGAGGCCCATGAAGAAGTAGACGGCGGTCCTTGCGGTCCTTAATTTTAAAACCATTAGCATTAAAACTCACGGAGACGGGATTGTCAGTGGTTAGTTTAGAAACGGATAAAAGATTATGAGATAAATGCGGGACATGAAGAAGTTTACGTAAATAAAGCTTACGAGGAGTTTCCGGTAAGGGAAGGAGACATTGTCCGGAGTGAGCGACGGGAAGTTGCGAGCCGTTTGCGATGGAGACGCTGTCTTGACCGTGATATTGCACTGGATATTGGAGGTTGCTGAGGTCCGGCGTAAGATGATTTGATGCTCCCGAATCAATAATCCAATCTTGAGAAGGGATCTGATTCGGCTGGGCAAGAAGTGCGTTTATGGATCTGGGATTAGTTGGAGCAAAGCGCGGATTTGAGCGATGCCAGCAGTTTAGCGCGATGTGACCGACCTTATTGCAAATCTGGCAAGTGGGTCTAGTAGGAGATGGGAGAGCTGAAGTGGGCGTGGGAAGAGCCATATTTGGCTGGGACGGAGATTGTCCAGTGGGTGGGAATCTGGACTTACTGAGGCGGCGAGTGAAGCGATTGCGAGATTGGTTTGAGGATGTGGCATGAAGAGCGGTAGTGCTAGAAGTGATCGAACTTTCTCTGGAGGTTTCCTGATTGACAATGATCTCTTCGCTGCAAAGAAGAGAGTAAAGGTTGTCAAGATTCATCGGAAGAGGGGACGTGCGAATCGCAGCCTTGAAGTGATTGTAGGTAGATGGAAGGCCGTTGAGGATGTGGAGGATGACGTCTTCCGTATCGACAGTGGAGCCGGAGGCGGCGATGTTGTCGACTATCGATTTGACGTGGTTGAGGTATTGTTGCATATTCAGATTTTGCATTTGAACATGGTGGAGCTCGTTCTTGAGCTGGATGACGCGTGACCGGCAAGTGGGCTGGAGGCGTCTTTCAAGAACGAGCCAAACGTCATGCGCTGTGGTGCAAGAAATGACGTAGGGGAGGATAGGAGGTGAGATGGTAGAGAACAAAGCTGAAAGAAGGTTGTTGTCGGCTAAGTGCCACCGTTGAAATTCTTGAGAAGTATCGTCCGATGGACAAGAAACAGTGCCGGTGAGGTGTCCGGCGTAGCCATTCGCCGTGAACTGTTGGAGGAGCTGAATGCGCCATATGGCATAATTTTCGGTGGTGAGAGCATTGGGAACGAGGTTCTTGATGTTGGAGATGAGGAACTTGAGTTGCTGCGGGATGTGAATCTCGGTGGTGGAGTTGCCGGAGAGAGCGGTGGAGGAGGGAGGGTGGGAGCTTGCTGATTCTTGATCCATAGGTTGGCTCATGATACCATGACAGAAATTTAGAGACGAGGTAATGGACGGAAAGAACGAGATGCAGCAGAGAGGAAAAATAAAGAAACTGTTGTTATTGAATTAATTCCTTGTAAGAGGTACAATAGTCTTTATAAAGAAACTGAGATGGCATAAGTGTAATAAAGGCTTAATACATAAATGTTCGTTTACATCTTAAAACAGCTTTTAAGTAAAAAATTTTAATATTTGTACTAAAAAATTGTTTTAAGAAGTAGTAAAAAAGCCATTTCAAACGTAGCCTTCATCCTATGATTTTTGCCTTCTCAAAATTTTCATGTATTATATGTGATGCTCTTAACTTATTTTCCTGTGTGTGATAGTTTTTCTTTTTTATATTAAGATAATTAACTATTTTTACAATCATAAATGTTGTAACATGTAAAAATTATTCTTTCATCATTGCTTTTTTCTCCACTCTATCTCTATTGCTATTGTTGTATGCTAAAGTATTTAGAGTAATTGAGAAATAATTTAACATTTTAATTTTGTATGAAAATTCAGCATACATATATATAAAGTAAGAGAATACAAGAGACATCAGAGTATTTTGTGTGGATTACTAGAAAAATAAAAATAAAGATCATGAGGCATATACTAACTAAAATTGTTTTATTAGATGAGCATTGATTACCCCCCACCCCCCAATTAGAGAAGGCGAGTTTACAAGAGTCTATGTAGCTAGTTTGTTTTCCTATGAAAGTGATGGGAAATTTCATTAAGGTGATAAGAATAATAAGTGTTAGGATAGTTGTGGCCAAATGATGGCGATTCAAGAAAAAAAAAATACTTTAATTGGCATAAATTTGAACTTTGATTTAAACACGATTCACCTAGGTCTACAATCATCATTAGAGCTGAAATCATATTGGTAATATAAGATTTCATAATTGTAGCTTGTGGAGGCTAGTGAGCAAGAGCTGATGGGGGTGTGGGGGAAAATGATTTTATGATGAGCATGTTGGAGAAGGCAACAATTACGCTAATGTTGTTACGATTCTCGCTGTGGACAACATTATTGATCAACATTTGTAAATAAAGTTTCGAACCCAATTTAAATCTTATTTGAATAAAGTTCAAACAATATTAGATAAACTATATATTTAGGTCGAAATAAAATTCAAATTTAAATCAAATTTCATCACAATAAATTTTAATGAATTACATATATGAAAGAGAAGCAATTTAATTCAAAATAAATTTAAAATATATTTTAAAAAAAATTAATTTTTTTAGAACAGGGGTATATACCGTTGCTATCCTCCTTAGGAGGTGCTTGGCAGGATAACTAATCCCTCGGCAAGCTTACTAGCAACCAGCCCCAAAGGTGCCGCAGTTATTCCCCCCCACTTAAGAGGTGGCGCTGCATGAAAGAGGATTCAAATATGAGTTGGGGGTTCCAAACCATACTGACGCACCAACCCAGCTAAATCCAATGGGGTAAAAAAAAATTGAATACATTCCTTCAATTTCACGTACTTTGAATTACATGAAGTCAATTTTCTTTTCATATATTATATTGATCATTAAACATTTTCTTATAATCAATACTAAAAGACTCTACACAGCTCACCTTGGCCTGTTGGTCGAGAGCTTATACTTCCAACTAAGAGATCTTAGGTTCGAGTCTTTATGTATACGTTGTGTGTATTAATTTGATTTAAATAATCTAAATGTCCAAAAAAAAATACTAAAAAGACTCCAAACTTGTTTCTTTCTTATCTCCCAATTCGAGACTGCAGCAAACTTCCAAATTCCAACCTTGACCATTTTCCAAGTGATTACTTTCTTTATCTCCACTCGAAAAAAAATATCCACTCATGTAAAAAATAAAATGTAAAAAAAAAAAAACAAAATAGAGTGACTGTACAATAAACTATGCACACCACTTCTCCAAAAATTGCCGACTTTCTCTCGCTCCAAGTCCTACAATACCAACAAGTAGCTACTCAAATGCACAACTAGAACGCCAAGCTCGCTCTTTCTCACTTCTCCCTCTTGTTTACTTTCCACACGAAGAAGCAAGGAAGATGAACAGCTACTCCAAGATCCGCCATGGCTCCATAGATCTAACATCCGAACCAAACCCTTCCTTCTCCCCAATCCGATCAGTCCCTCAAAAACCAGACTTCTTCTTCTCCAAATCCGAGAACCTAACCAGCCACGGCGCTGAAAATCTCCCCAGAAGCCGCTCATCCGCCTCTCAGAGATTCGGCCGGGAAGATCAGAGCCATGTGTTCGGTCTTCAGGCCGCGGTAAGAAGGGCTTTCTCCATGAGACGCACCTCCATGATCGACAACGGGTACTGGAGGATTCACGATGGCGGTGACGCATTTTTGGCCGAGGAAGCAGACGAGGGCCAGAAGCAGCGGCAGGGGGGGAGGAAGGGGTTGAGGAGGAGAGGGTTTATTGGCCTCTGTAAGAAATTTGTGGGTTTTTGAGAAGCTGTTTAAGGGTTTTCTGTTCTGGATCTTAACTATAAAGGGATTTGATCCTTCTTTTTCTTCCTTTTTCTTATTTGGCTACAGTGTTTTAAGTGTTTGTGCCGTCTTGTGAGCTTCAGTTAATAAAGCCTTACTTTTTTTTGCCTCTTCGATTTTACAGAACGAATCGTTTATACTGTTTGTGTTTTAAAGGAAGTTTATGGAGAATTTTTATATGTTTGATGGTGGTTTTCTCTTTTCTGGTGATATATTTTACCAAGAAAATAATATGAAGGAGCTGAAGCTGTTGAGTAAGCAGAGAAATGGAAGTGATGAAGAGATGGAAATGAAATGAGCGGTTGTTATTGTATCCAATATTGTCGGTAGAAAGATATTGAGAGGAATAGATCAAGTCCGAAAGACATTAAGTTTTGTTTTGTTTAGGAGGGTTTTCTATTATTTTTTAAGTATTTTTTAATATAAAAATTAGATTTTTTTAAAATAAAAAATTATTTTAAGAAGCAGAAAAAAAAATAGTTCAAAAGAATATAATATATAAATATAATTTTTTTAATGAAATACTAATTTTAATAATATATTTAATAATTTTTAAATTTAATTTAATATAAATTGTATTAAACTATTTTGTCAAGAATTCAAATTCTATTGTCGAGTATTCATATTCAATAGTTAATTTTATTTCTTGGGTGAATACGTAACTTCATGGGTGTATCAGGTTCTCAGTAGCTTAAACTTGGTGATTGAATTAATACTAAGATTTTATTTGTACAGCTTTTTTATTATTTTTTAAAATAATTTTTTAGTATAAAAATTATTTTTCTTTACTTAAAAAATTAATTTAAAAAACAGTAAGAAAGCTTTCTCAATTAAAATCTAAATCTTAAACTATTTAGCTACGTACATTCTATCTTTGACAACTTAAGGTTATTGGTGGATTCATCTTTCCATTTGAATACGCTATTATGTTCAAAGTTATGGGACCACAATAACATGCAAATACGACTTATCGTTCATGGGAAAAAACAGGAGCAAGGAGTCGGTAGCAAAATTTGTACTTTTTGTTCCACCTAAAAAGCTTGTTGGACACCAACTAGGCTACCAATTATGAACACACTTGCTGCCGGGTTTCAAATTTAAAATGAGAAAAATGGAGAGTTGTGCTAAGTTGTCGGTTAGCATAAAATTTATCGAATAATCATGATATGAATTTACTTACATTCATATGTACAAAAAAATTCAATCAAGTTGATCGAATTTTCATAAAGATTATTGTTGCGTCCTAGAATATTCGCAACGATAGAGAAATATAAAGTTTAACATTTTAGCATTGTACGAAGATCCAACACACAAACAGATGAAAAATATGGTATAATATTTATAAGAGACATCAAGATTTTTATATGGAAAACCCTGAAAAGAAAAAAAATCACGGGGCATGGCGTAGTTTGAATGAATATACTATTATTTGCAATCGATTACCCCTTCCTTGGGGGAAGACCTTTGCTTGATGTAATAAATATACATCATTTAAAGTGCATTACATGAAGGTACTTGAAAGAATCACTATTGATATATTTGTTTGGTTGGTAGAAGACGGAGGTGGGAAAGACCGTAGTCTAGTGACGGTGATCAGAGGGACCGTAGTCAGGCAACAATGGTCAGAAAAGACTGTTGTCTGGCGTTGGAGATCAGAAGGACAACAATCTAGTTATGGAGGTCGTAAGGACCGTAGTTGACGGGCGATAGTGGTCATAAAGATCGTTGTCTGACGATGGATGTCAGAAGGATCGTAGTCGGCGGGTGATAGTGGCAAGAAAGACCATTATTTAGCGACAGAGGTTGGAAGGACCGTAGTTGGAGGGCAACAGTGGTCTGAAAGACTATTATCTAGTGAACGAGGTAGGAAGGATCGTAGTCGACTGGCGATGGAGGTCGAAAGGATCATAATGGAGTGCTATGGAGGCCGAAAATACTGTTGTCTAGCAACTGAGGTCATAAGGACCGTTGACAGACGGAAGTTCGACGTTGGGTAGAAATCCAACGACGGTCGGATGTTCAGCATTGGGTAGAAGTCCAAAGAATTTTCGACTTTAGGCAGAAGTTTGGCAACAGGCCGAAATTCTGCGTTGGGTAGAAGTTCGACGAGAGTCCGGCGACAAGCAGAAGTTCGGCGAAGGGTAGAACTTCTATGTCGGGTAGAAGTTCGACAAGAGTCTGATGATGGGAAGAAGTCTGATGACGGGTGGAAGTTTGCCGTCGAGTATAAGTCCGATGACAAATATAAGATTGACATCAGGTAGAAATCCGACGAAAGTCCGATGACGGGCAGAAGTCCGACGACGAGCTAAAGTTCTGCGTCTGGTAGAAATCCGACGAGAGACTATTGACGGGCAGAAGTCCGACGACGGGTGAAAGTTCGACGTCGGTCGGTGGCCGAGAGGTGGTCGAGGAGGAGTTTGGTTGCAAGAAAACTCTTCATTCTCTTCTTGATTCGGCCTCCTTCTCCCCTCCTCTACTGGGGAAAATGAGGGATCTATTTATAGTTTTCTGAGAGTGTCATGACTAGTAAATGAGAGGAAGATCAAGGATAAATTGGGAGTTATTTAAATGGATGGCCGATGTTGATTCCCTTGATCAGGGACATGTTATTTGGTATTTGAATGTCTTAATGATATCAAAAATTGGAAATCTTGAGCTCGTTTGATTTGTCTCGTCAAGCCGCTCGGTTTGACTATAAGCATGTCACGTTTGGACGGTTTGGTAATCCAAATTATGGTTTGAACCTTCTAAATGCGCTTTGGGTCTTCGATTTGGACCCATTTGGGCTCGGATTAAGTCGCATTTGATGTTGTTGGGTTCGTATTTTCAAGACGTTCAGTTCGACTGTAAGTTTGCTGAAATCAAAGCTCAAATGGTCTCCGATTTAATTTTTGAAGTTTTCAACTTCATTTTGCTTTGAGATTCCTACCCGATTAAGATAATATTTTCTTGATATATCAATTATAAAAACTCATAATAAAAATATATTTTATGCAAAATGATGAGCTTATATGTAATTTCATATATAATGTGCATAATTTATTACGTATTATATGCGCTCTAAGCTTTATAAAAGCGAAATGATCTGAGTGAAAAAAAAAAGATGATTATGAATTATTTATTAGGAGTTAATTTAATTTTAAATTATTGAATATGCTCAATTTAGTTTATTAATTTTAGATAATTTAGAATTAAAACGACTCTCGTAAATAATTTAAATTTTATTCTGATTTCTTCTTAATAAAGAAAAGAAAGAAGGATTTTTTTTTTTCAGTATTTGAATCCGCTGTCTTCATTAAAAAACACAAGAACAAATACAACTTCATAATTTTGCAGAGCAGTAGTTCAGACTTTCAGAGTTTTGGAATCTGTTCAGGATTCTCAGGCTCTCAGCTAGGTTCCGGTTAATGTGCTTACAATATATTTGGCTCTGATCAATCAATTGAATTAATGAGTTATGATATCAGATTGGATGTTAATAAGGTTATTTACGAGTAACCTGACCTGTTTATTGGGTAGGTTAGGTCTCGGGTCTCGAGCTCAACTTGAATACTCAAGCTCTATAAAAAAAAGCTTAAGATTGATTCATTTTGGAGCTCGATTTCTATTAAATCAAGCCAATGCCTAATTTTATAACTAAATATGCTAAATGTTTTTTTATAATTTTATTTTACATACACTTTTTTTTTTTTTTGGAACGGAATATTCACCTGCTTACAACCTCTGAAAGGATGCATAGCGGCGTGACTAAACCTCAGTTAGCCTAAAAGAGGCACCCACCCCAGAAACCTCATAGCCTGTACTTGATTGGACCACACTTAAGAGGCGTTGCCGCTCGAGGAGAATCGAGCAATGGTTGGAGGATTCCCAATCGTACTCGCCTACCAACTAGGCTAAGCAATGATAGGTATATGTTAAAAAAGATAGAGGTAGGCTTAAAAAAGACTTGGTTAGAAAATATTAGAAATAACATCTTTTTTTTTTTTAGATTTAAATGAGAATTTGACTCTTAACAATACACAATAGAGAAAAAGAATTCATTTTTGTTGTTTGTTGTTATTGTATACATTTCTATGTGATTACTGCTGCGTCCAGGAGTATACGCGGCGGTAGAGAAATATAAAGTTTATCGTCTTAGCATTGTACGAAAATCCAGCACGCAATCAGATAAGAGAGATGGTCTAGCATTCACATGAGACACCAATATTTTTATGTGGAAAACCCCTGAAAAGGGGGAAAAAACCACGGGGCCTAACCCAATTTGAACGAATCCACTAGTATTTGCAGTCGATTACAAATGAGGCCCTTCCTTGGAAGAAGGCCGTAGCTTGATGTACATCTTATAGAGTACATTACATGATGTAAATACAAAGAGTTACTATTTACATATTTGTTTTGTTGGAAGGACTGTAGTCGGCGGGCGACGGAAGTCAGGAGGACTGTAGTTAGCTGGCGACGGAGGTCAGAAGGACTGTAGTCGGAGGGTGATGTAAGTCAGGAGGGCGACGTAAGTCAGGAGGACCGTAGTCGGCGGGCGACGGAGGTCAGAAAAAATGTAGTCTGACGACGAAGATCAGAAGGACATCGTCAGGTAGAAGTCCAACAATGGAAAGAAATCCATCTTCGCGTAGACGTCCAGCGAAGTCTGATAACCGGTAGAAGTCCGACGTCGGGTAGAAAACTTGGCGAAGAGTGAAGGTTCGACGTCGGGTAGAAGTCCGACGTCTGTTGGTGGCAAAGGAGAACTCCGGCTTCACTTGGGCGGAGTTTCAGCTTCAGAAGGGAACTCTGTTGCAAATTGGGAAGAATTTCAGCATCACGTGGAAGTTGGGAAGAATTCCTGCGTTCTCCCGAATATCACGCAGAATCCCGGCGTGTTCGGGCGGCAGGAAGAGCTCCGGCGGTGGTCGAGGAGGAGCTTCTTCCTTCTCCTCCTTCTTCTCTCTTCACTTGACTTCCCTTTGTGTAGAATGAGGGCTATATTTATAGTTTTTCTGGAGTGGCGTGGCTCGTAAATAGGTGTGAGATCATGGACGAATAGGGAGTGGTCCGAATGGACGGCCGATATTGAACCCTTCGATCATGCGCCGTTCGTTGGACATTTGAAG